GGGCTCATCAAGGGCATAACTGAATAAGTACTAAAGAGCGGAGTCATTGTAGCCCAGCCCCTCTGCAGCATTCCTAAACTCCATGGCAAACTCCCTCAGATCAGTCCCTCGTTGACGGAGGGAGCTCAAGGTATCCAGCTGGAGCATGCGCTGGTAGAGGGGGCTGGAGAGAGTGGAGACCGGTAGATGGAGTGAGCCATTTCTCCGCTGAGTCCTCATGTTGGCTGATCCGTTCTGTCACGGTGCTTGTGGAGAGATGAAGCGAGGACTCAAGTGCAGGATGAATGGTTCTTTCTTTTAATAATAAAATGAAACAAAAACAAACTAAAACAACCCCGAGGGGGAAAAACAGACAGGCAGGCTAGGAACTGCACTACATGCAGACATAACACACACAACGAAAAAACGACGGAAAAAACAACGAAAAGACACCAGGAGAATAAATAGGAAACCAACTGAGGAGGCTAGCGAGGGAGACACAGGTAGAGCAACTTAAACAATAACAAGGTAACAAGATGGTCGGGGCAAGACAAGAGACAGGAGAGAGCACATGGCACCAAACAAACACAACACAAGCCATGTGCTCACAGAAAACAATGTCATCTGGTGGCCATCCTGGGCACACCCGCTGAAGACTGTTACACATTCACTGCGTGATTTAGCCTTTTAGAATAGAATGCAGTTAGAATGTTATGAAAGAAAAATATACCTCTGTATAGGTTTTTGTTTTTCTATATTTATTAGATATGATATACTTAGTATAGAAGATATTAGATATGTTATTAGATATGATATATTAGTATAGAAGCCTGAAGAAGCCTATAATTGCAACTTTTTTTTTTTTTGCAATTGCTAATTAAGAATTGCAGGATATAAACTCGCAGTTACAAGTTATAAGGTCAGATTTGCGTAATTTCAACTCGCAATTCTGAGAAATAAAGTCAGAATTGTGAGATATGAACTTGCTATTGCGAGTTTTAAAATCTGAATTTCGTGATATAAACATGAAATTGCGCATTATAAAGTCAGAATTGTGAAATATAAACTCTTATAAATATAAAGTATTTTCTCGTCCTCAGAATCAGACTTTATAACTCGCAATTGCAAGATCATTTCTCAAAATTCTGAGAAAAGTCATAATTGCAAGATATAAGTCATGTGATCGCAAATGTGATATTAACTTTATACGACAGTTCAAAAAACATGACGTTAATATTAAGTGAGTTACATTTTAGACACAATATTCTGTTTTTGTTTATTTATTTATTTTTGTTGTTGTTGTTTTCCACCAAGAAAACCAAATAAAGCTGGGGCAGAACATTTGTGCATACACTGCAGTCGGTTCCTGAATTAGTCTGTTTTTGTATGAATCATTTGAGTCAATAATTCAATAATCTATGAATAAAGACAGCCACTTGCTTCATTTCTAAATTAATTTCAACGGAATCGTTTGAATGAATGATTCAAAGAATCACTCATTAAGACAGGGACTTGTCGCCACCTACTGGTGGTTTTTAGTGTCATATTTATTTTTCCATGGCAGGCCTAAACCAGCCGAGGTACTGGCATAAAATCACACTAAGTAAATATCGTTTGTGTGTCTTAGATGGCTGTGGTGTGCAAGAAGAAGGAGAAGAAGCCAGTATCAGATGAGGAAAACTCAGAGATGGATGCAGATCCCAGCACTTCGGAGGAGGACGTCCCCTTCAACATCACAGACGAGATGAAACGCATGCTCAACCACCTGTGAGTCCTCACAAAACTCAAAACAGATTCAGGTTTCAGCCTGTGATCTGTGATCATCTCATGCTTACACTCTGGCAGCACCAAGTGGAGATGCAAAGAATTGCAGAAAGACTAAAGCATTTTTTTGGTGGTGGGGGGCGGGGGTATTGTGCAGGTTGCTTTTTTCCCATGTATTTGTAATGAGTGGGGACTGAGATTTTAATCTTTCAACTTTGATGTCATAATCATGTAAAGCTGGTATTTCTGTGTTTTTCTAATTCTCACATTCACACTTTCACTAACAGCTTTAGCTGCTATTGTAGCGCAAACCAAAGTGCCTGATTCTGATTTCCTCCTCAGATCTGATATTTTTGAGGTTCTTCACATTGTACTTTTGGAAATATGGATCATATCATACACTGGTCTTAACTGCAAAACTTCTTATCTGACACGCATGCAAACAAGTAAGAAGTAAACACAACTTGAATACACATTTCATTCAAAACACAGTGTTAATATAATTGAAATGTCATTATAAAGAAATCAACTTATATTTGGTTGGAGTATTGCTTTAATTGCTGAATTACATTTCTGCAAAAATAGCATTAATTCCATCTAGTTTTTTAGACGAAAAATTTAGTTTACTGACTCAAATGAATAATTAATTACAAATGACTAAAACAGTAATGAAATCAAGTCATGTTAAGTTGGAGTGTTTCTTTAACCCTGTAAAGCATTTATTTGTTTGACATTTATTTGTTCATCTCTCAGTCATCATTGTATTGCATTGCATTATATGTTTTGATCATAAAACTAAGCATTTAAATATCATCTCACTAAGATATATTATTGGAGATATAGTGTGACTGATATTTATATGGATTCATAAAGATCTCATTGATTTACATGACAAGCTATCAGAATTTCACTTTACATTTTGGCCATGTAAATATAAACATCTGCACCAAATTGCATGTTTTTGCTCAATTTGGGCTTCTATATTCATACTATATGAGCCATAAAAACCTGATGTATTACATAGGACAAAAAAAAAAAAAAAAAAACAAGCGAACTTTTTTATATATATTTAAACAAATATTTTGTCTAAAATTTCAAAAAACTATTCCATTTAAAAAAAAAGAAGATTTTTCTAAATATAATTTTATATGTCAGGCTTATATATACCAGGCTTTCACACTGAAGTCGCATTGCAAAACAACAATTACACATCCAAATTCCATAAAACTGCGAGTGCAAATTTTGCCGTTCACAGTGAGGGAAAAATCTGATTTGGGCCTCATTTAACATGTTTGTGTATGTACGCGTCCTGTTTCGTGCTTGTCTATACTCTCGTCTTGTGCTGGCCATCCGAGACAGTCTTCACTGTCTGCTCTTTCTCTCTCCTCTCTTTCCGTCCCTTTCTTTTTCCTCACATGCAGACATTGTTCAGATAACTCATTTGTTGCTAGGCGGGAGACGTTTGAGATCGATGATGACTGTGACAGTTTGACGTGGGAAGAGAACGATGATACGCTGCTGTTATGGGAGGATTTCAGCAACTATAACATGCCCTACGGCCTTACTAACAACACCGGTGCCCTCGACTGCAACGGAGACGCACAAGAAGCGGTCAGTTTCCATATACACTAACGGTTCATATGACTGGGCTTGTTTTGAAAAAAGTATCTTCTGCTCGCCAGATCTTGTCTGATTAAAATACAGGAAAAGCTGTAAAATTGTGAAATATTATTCAAATTTAAAATGAGTGTTTTTTATTTGAATATATTTTAAGATGTAATTTATTCCTGAGATGCAAAGCGGATTTTTCAGCATCGTTACTCCAGTCTTCAGTGTGGCATGATCCTTCAGAAATCATTCTAATATGCTGATTTGAAACATTTCTGATTATCATCAATGTTGAAAACAGTTGTGCTGCTTCCTATTCATGTGAAAACAATTTTTGATTAATGGAGAGTTCAAAAGAACAGCATTTGCTTGAAATAGAATTTTTTTGTAACTTCATAAATTGCATTAAAATTTTATAGGGCTGTTTTTCAGCTCTTTGTCACAAAATATGTTAAATGGCCTCATAATGTTTTTATGTGGAAAAATATTGTGGATATTTTTCCATTTTAATTTTAATTTTGTGTATAAATGTCTTTAGAATGAAAAACACACAGATCACTGTCATAGCTTGCACAACTTTATTTAAAGATACATGTAATTAATGATCTGGTCTTTCATCAGGCGTTTTTGTGCTAAAATGTGACATTTGGAAGTGTAATCAAAGAAGAGACGCCACAAATCATGGCTGATATTATTTCTCATTCATGCATCACACACTTGGTTCAAGTTGGGCACACTGCATTGCAGGACACAGTGTTTTAGTATCACTAATATAATATGTAGTTAAAAATAATATAGTTTATTAGTATTATGAATTAGTTTTTATTTTTTTCTATTTTCCATTTTAATTTTAATTTTAGTTATTCAAATGATAAATCACTTCTATTTTCATCTGAGGTTTTCTTCTCTTGTATGACAAGGCTGATCATTTCTTTTTATTTACAGCAATTAGGAGTGGCAATATATTAAAAGAATAAAATCAAATAAATATAAATAACTTACTGGATTTTCAATAACTTAATAGTCCTCTGGGTTTGCGCTTTTTATTATCAATAAATGTTCACAATTTAAATAGCAGCTTCAAAGGAAAAAATATTTTAGAGAACTTAATAAAAAATTCCAATCAGGACACAGTGTTTTAGTATCACTAATATAATATGTAGTTAAAAGTAATATACTTTCTTAGTATTATGAATTAGTTTACATTTTTTTCTATTTTTAACTAAATATTATTTTAACTAAGTATGTTTAATATCGTAATAGTTTTAATGAATTTTTTTATAAATTTTCATTTCAGATTTAGTTTGAATTATTTTTATTACTTATTTTATTACATATTTTAATTAAGTTTTAATTTTTTAAGTTGAGAAATGTTTAAGTTTAAGCATTTTTATGTTATTTTATTTTAGTTAACATTTATTTTGTTTTCAGTAATTAAATATGTTTCTTCATATACAGTATAGACATATATACTGTATATATACACCATTTCCTGAGAATAAGTTTTTTTTTTTGTTTGGATTTTAATAAATTGTCTTCTTTCTATCAGCTCTTCTGCGAGCAGTGACTCAGGGAACACTGACGAGATACAAGACGAGTCGGACAAGGACGGAGAGACGGAGGAGCCAATCAGCTGATACCTGCCCAGGCTGACCCCGCCCTCTTCCCCCCACGAGCTCCAGTCAGCTCTCGGGCCTCCCAGCAATCGGCCAATGGCGTTACACTGAGGGACAGAGCCCACTCACACAAACCCCAGATCCTGTAGGTGCTTTAACGTCTCCGTGTCAGAGTGGGGTGGAGTTGATGAGGGTTGATTTTGTGCTTCGACATCAATATCGATGCGTCACATGGTGCCACAGCTATCACAGGACGGCCTAACTATGAATCAGATCAATCCCAGCCAAAATACATCAAACAATACACCCGATCAAACCTGAAATCAAGTCCATATCTCGATTAGAAACCGGAAAACGTTCACGCAACATGAATGATACATAAGACTGAAAGCCTATCAGACCAAAACAGACTGAACTCCTTGCGATTGAACACTTCGGAATGCTTTCCTTAATATCTGTGGCTTTTTATTTTTCTAAAAACTATTTCAGAAATCAACAGTTTACTGCAGAAACATTTTGGCCTTTTTAAGCCCGAATCCAGTCGGCGAATGTGGAACACAGAAAAAGCTCACGCTCTATGCAATCAGCCTTATTTTGTGATCTGTGTTTTCCCAGCTAACAAAACTATGCTCTTAGAATGTTTTGCTGACGTTCCCAGTTAGTTAGGTAAATGTTATTTATGAATGTTCTCTGAACATCAAAATGTCCAGTTTTCATCAAAATGTTTTAACCCTCTGGTGCTCTTCAACATATTTTTTTACCCAAAAATTATGTTTTGCGTTTTTTTTTTTAAGATTTTAGTCAAAAAGGTTAAATGGTTGTGAAAAGAATAGTCACACTTGTATTTTTCATAATCAAAAAATGACCACAGTGGAAATGAATGGGAAGTGAATTTTATCTAGTGGAAACGTTTGGTACTGCGCTCAAAGACAGTCTTACAGAAAGCTGATTTTTTTTTT